TCAGTAGCTTTCCTTCAATTTCCTGGAGATATTTTCTTGTCAGTTGTGCCAGCTGTTAGGCACAGAAAGCATCCTCCATACACATGTATGGAGGGATGGCTTGAAGGCTTAAGTGTGTTCAACAAGCTTGAACTTTGTTTTTCTATATAAGAGAGCCTCCTCCCTCATGCCTTAGGTTCAGAAAAATTGTGCTTGAACTATACATATCATCTATATCTATACTCCTCCATTTCTCTCTTATTTTGTGCCTTAAAGTGAATATTCTTCACACTTTTGCACACAAACACATAGTGAAACACCATCCTTTTGTTGTTGAGGTACCTTGAGGTTGGTTTTGGAGTTTTTGGACTGGTTTGTGCTCAGAAAAGCTGCTGGAGTTGTAGCTTTGAAGCGGTTTTACAAGGGTGAGTCAACTAGCCCTTTAAAGCTTCATTTTGATTAAGCTTTTGGACCTATTTGCATTCTTATTTAGGCTTAACTTTTAACTACAAAAAGTTCTGATTTTGCATGCTTGTAATGTTTGTTTAAGGTCTCTTTTGTGTTGGGGGTGGTCTACCCTCTCTTGTGCCTTGTTTGGCCTTGCTTTTGTGCTATCCTTTTAAGCTATTGGGACCACCTCTTTTTGGCCTTCTCACTACTGAAACTTAGAGGAATTCAATGGTGGAAATGATGTTTTGAGGTCCCAAATAGGAGAGGGTCATCCCCTCTCTTTGTGTCTTGTATGCTTTCTTTGTATGCCTCATGTTTGAGCATGTTTATCTAGCATATGTTGGCTCCATCTTAGCATGTATTTGGGGTTATTTTGACATGACATACCACTATTTTTCTTTGGTTTTGTCACCTCATGCATGCTTTATACACTTGTAGTGTAAATTTTGCAAACTAGCTTTGTGTGCCTCATGAAGTAGCATGTCTTTCTAGCATGTTTTGAGTCCATCTTAGTAGGTTTTTGGTGTTTTTTTAACATACCTTAGATCTATTTTGACTTGGTTTGATGGCCCTATGCATGCTTCATGCACTTGTAGTGCAATTCCATTTACTGGCCTAATGTGTATCCTGCTTTAGATCATCATTCTAGCATGATTTTGGCTTAACTCCAAGAAGTTTTTGTCTATGTTTTAGCATGCTTAAGCTCTGATGTGTGTTGTTTTGGTCATGCATGCCATGCTTTGTATAGCCATAGTGCATTCTAGCTTATTAGCTTTTAGTTTCCAAGCCACTAGCATGCTTTGCTTGGACTATTTTCATGATTTGGCATCTTTTGAAATGTGATTTCAGTACATGTAGCGTGGTCATACACTTGCATTTGTCACTCTTTCTATGCTTTGGAAGGTTGGCTCTTTATGTCTTAAACATGAGCCATTGTGTATGCCTTCATGCCTAAGCTTGTGAGCTATCATTTCAGTGTGTTTTGGGTGTTATTTTGCCATGATATAACTTTAATTTTTGTTGGCGAAGCCATCTCATGCTTGGTCTTAGTAGGTGTAGTGTGATCCTCCCTTTTGGCCTTGCATATTTCATGCTTCATGCTTACCATGCTAACTTATTTTGGCTTCTTTCCATGCATGTTTTAGCATCATTTTAACATGCTCTAGAAATGTTTTGGGTTATATTTTCCATATGCTTCATGTATTGCATAGCTGCAGTGCAATTGGCCTTGCTAGCTTTGAGCTTTGAGAACCATAGCATGCTTCATTTGTATCATGTACATGATTTGGCATCATTTAACGTGATATTTCAAAGCATATAGCATTGTCATGTTCCCATTTCATTCACCCTTTGAGTGCCTCTAGGGGTTGTGCATTGTTGCTTTGTTTGTGGCCAAGTGTGCATGCATGCATACTTCGACCTTTGAGCCCCCATCTTAGCATGTTTTGGTCTTTGTTTAGACCTAATTAAGCTCTAGTATGCTATACTTGTTTTGATTGAATGATTTGGCATCATTTCTTACTTTATTTCAGAGCTTATAGTATTGTTACACTTCCATGCTTTTCACTCCCTAAGCACTCTTGAGAGTTGTGCTCTTATGCCTAGTTGATAGGCTAATGCATGTGCATGCATTGTTTTGCATTACATGCCATCTTTCGTAGCATTATGGCCACTGTTTTGGCATGACAAAGGTCCATCCATATTCGATTTAAGTCCATTGAGCGTGTTTGTTATCATGTTGTTTGCATGCTTATGTTGCATTGCATTGTATATGCATGCCATTAGCATTAATAGGTTGCTCATGTTGCATTGCATTGTGTGTGCATGCCTTACGTTATGTTTAGCATGTTTAAGTCGCATTACATGTTTGCATGTTTGAGTTCCATTACATGTTTGCATACTTGAGTTGCATTGCATGTTTGCATGCTTGAGTTGCATTGTCTTTGTTTGGATTAGGAGTTAGTCCAAACACAGGAAACGAGGGACGTTTCATACTTGAAGTGATGAAACGTGCCTCATTTCTCGGTCGCCGACCCTCTTGATCAAGCATGATAGAGGTTAAGGCTTTATGTGTTTATTTGTGCATTCATTTATATTGATTTATGCAATCTTAGCTTCTCGGCCATCATGCATCGAGATGCGTGATTGTTGGCCCGAGGGTCGAGAACCGCACTTTTTTGAGCTCATGAAATGATATGGAGGGTGGTTGTGCACACATACATTGCAAATACATTGCCATGCCCCTTTTTGTTCTCTGTTGCAGCAAACTGGAAGTATGGCAGCAAAACTGGTTGGCCGACTAGAAAAACTAGCTGGCCGACCACTTTTTCTAGTTTGCAGCAAACATAAGTGGTCGGCAGGTGGTCTACAACACCAATAACTTGTCGGCAACCCTCCTGAGGGTCCCTAAGGTGAGTTAGAAGCTTTCTGGAGCTTGGTGCAAAGTTTTGAGAACAATTGCAAACAGAGGCAAGTTGGGGCATCGCGATGGATTTCCGAACGAGGCAACCGAGCATGCATACACTTCTCGCTTTGAAGCTCCTGTTTTATAGCTTTGCTTAGATAGCTAGCTTATGCTTTGGTTATGTACTTAATTAGTTAATGTGCTTAACTGATTAATTTGTGTTTGTAATAACTAGTTAGTTAACTTGTTAGTTAATTAGCTTTATTTTGTAATAATTAGTTAGCTAGTTTTGTTTTGTAATAATTAGTTTAATTAGCTTAGATTAGCTAGTTAGCTTATTATTCGGACCCTCCTGCGAGATGGTACAACTGTTGTAATAAGCGTGCATGTGTGCGATGCATGTCTTCCAATCCCCACTTCTTTCTCCCTTTTACTTAACCGCTTTCAATAGTTAGTTTTAGGGCATATTTCAATTAGCATCCTTATGCTTCGCATGCGTGCATTCATTCATCTGTTTTGCATGCACCGGGCTCGGCGCATCATACTAACTGCATTGTATTTCAATACATTTACTTGAATACGTGTTCAACAGCATGTTATCAAGTTGCATTTCATATGACATCTTAGAATAACCGAGCCTATCTTAGTTGCATTTTTGCATATGTTACAATAGCCATCTTAACATAAACTAGGATCATGCATGATTTCTAACCAGTTCTCTATTTTGGCTCGGAGTACACTGTGAGTGTTTATGCTTCAGCATACTGCATGAGATGCGTATGTTTCCATGTTAGCATGCTTGCCATGAGGCTAATTGCTTAAGTGATTAGCTGCCTGAATGCCTGTGGGTGAAGGTTGGATTGCTTGAATTTGAACAATTCATCAAATGTGTGTTTTAAGCTCACTTGAGAGTGGCAAATCATCATGTTTTATAAGCCCACTTGAGGGTGGAAAAATCCATGACTTAGCCTACTTGCGAGTAGCAACTCTAAACCATTTTCAAACAAACAAACATGAAATGTTTTGTTCCAACTTAGGCGATCTAGTTATACTTGTATGCTGTGCGCATCACATAGTAATTCTAGGTTAATAATAGGAATAAGAACACATGTGTTTTCAAAAACAACATATCATGCTTAGTAAAGGCCGATCCTTTGATCGGGCGAGGGGGGGTGCTCATTGCATGGCCTTCCCCTCTCGTACCCAAGTTCATGTTTGGCCCTTCTTTATAAAAATTAGTTTTCCAAAACAATTTGTCGGATTTGGACTCTTTGGTGATTTATCAGTCTTGCATTGCACTTTGCGAGATTAGATTCAGAACCGTGACAGGAGTTTGAATTGTAGTAGCTAAGAACAAAACGATTCGTGCACGGAGCCTGGTGTTCGGTCTACAGTGTCTCAAAGCACAAGCCAGTCTGGGGCTAACTCAACTGCATCAGTGTCAACACCAAGGGTAAATTCGAAAGCAACTACGGGGAAAGAAACTCTAAAGAAAGGACGGGTTTTTGTGTTGGTACTGGGTGATGTGTAGATTGCAGAGACGGTTGTGTCAGGTATTCTTCCTATCTGTTCTCAGAATGCATATGTATTAATTGATTCGGGGTCTACACATTCTTTCGTGTCTTATGCTTTTGCTCCAAAATTACTTAGACCTTTGGAACCAATGAACTACGTATTACTTATCACCTCTCTGGCGGGAGGAACTATGATCAGTGCATCTAAGTACCCTGCGCGTGAGATCATTATTGAAGACATGAATTTGTATGTGGATTTGTTACCTTTAGACATTGCATATTTTGATGTAATCTTGGGAATGGATTGGTTAGCGAAATATTGTGCTACAATTGATTGTTCAACCAAACAATTTGTGTTTCGTTTACCTGAAAGGCCTGAATTTATATTTAGTGGGGATAGTGTCATATCTCCCCCATATTTGATTTCCTCTATGAAAACGAATAGATTGATTAATAAGGGTTGTAAGGGATTTCTATGTTCAATACTAACAGTGCCAACTACTACTAAACCAGATGTAAGTAGTATTCCTGTGGTGAAAGAATTCCTAGATGTATTTCCAAATGATTTACCTGGGAATTTGATTCATAGAGAAATCGAGTTCATTATTGAGATAGTACTAGGTGCCTAACCAATTTCTAAGACCCCATACCGGATGTCAACTATCGAGTTAAAAGAGTTGAAAACTCAGTTACAAGAATTGCTGAATAAGAAATTTATCAGGCCTAGTACATCTCCGTGGGGTACTCCAGTGCTCTTCGTTAAGAAGAATGATGGAACCCTAAGGCTTTGTATTAACTACCGGGAGTTGAATAAGGTGACAATTAAGAATAAGTACCCGTTGCCACGTATTGATGATTTGTTTGACCAACTACAAAGGGCATAGGTGTTTTCTAAATTTGACCTGCGATCCAGATATCACCAGTTAAAAGTTAAAGCTGAAGATGTGGCGAAGACTTCCTTTCAAACAAGATACGGTCATTATGAATTCGTCGTTATGCCTTTTAGGGTTACTAATGCACCGATTGCTTTTATGGATCTAATGAATAGAGTTTTTAAGTCATTTCTTGATGAGTTCATTGTGGTCTTTATCGATGACATTCTGATCTATTCTAAAAGCAAGGAGGAACATGAACACCACTTGAGACTTACTCTTCAAATGTTGAGAGAGAAGAAACTGTATGCTAAATTGTCGAAATGTGAATTTTGGCTGGATAGTGTGACATTTTTGGCACATGTGATAATGAAAGAAGGTATCTCTGTTGATCTACAAAAGCTAGAAGTTGTTTTTAATTGGCCGAGACCAATGAATGTGACTGAAGTTCGCAGTTTCTTAGGCCTGGCTGGATATTATCGCAGAATTATGAAATATTTTTCAAAGATTGCCTCACCACTTACTCAATTGACACAAAATGGGGTACCATTCGAATAGACTGATCAAAGAGAGGCAACTTTTCAAGAGTTATAGACAAGACTTGTGACAGCACTGCATGGATGACTTTACCATCTACAGTGATACTTCCTATAAAGGTTTGGGATGCGTGTTGATGCAAAATGGAAGGGTGATTGCCTATGCTTCTCGTCAGTTAAGACCGCATGAAAAGAGTTACCCAACTCACGATCTGGAATTGGCTGCAGTGATTTTTACATTGAAAATTTGGCATCACTATTTATATGGGGCTATGTGTGAGGTGTATACGGATCACAAAAGTTTAAAATATTTATTTACCCAAAAAGAGCTAAACATGAGATAGCGTAGATAGCTAGAGCTAATTAAGGATTATGATCTGCAAATTATGTATCATCCTGGAAAAGCTAACACAGTGGCCGATGCCCATAGTCAAAAATCCATGGGAAACTTAGCCTATTTACTCACCAGACAAAAAACAATATTGCATGAGCTAGTAATAGTTGAAGAGATCAAAGAGAAACAAATGCAAGACGAATTCCTCAAGAAAGTAGTGGAAGAACGGGAATATAACCCTAGACCGGGATTTAGTTTCAAGAACGCCACACTCAAATTCCAAGGACGGTTATGCGTACCAAATGACAGTGTTCTGAAGAAACGGATCCTCCAAGAAGCCCACAGTTCCAAATTCTCTATCCATCCGAGGAACACAAAAATGTATCAAGACCTAAAGAAGAATTTTTGGTGGTCAGGAATGAAAGAGGAAATTGCTGAATTTGTATCCAAGTGTTTACAAAGCCAGCAAGTTAAAGCATAACATCAACGATCCGCGGCATTACTTCAGCCATTACCTATACCAGAGTGGAAATGGGAACACATCACAATGGATTTCGTGGTTGGCTTGCCTCAGTCCAGTAGAGGTAGGGACTCTATTTGGGTAGTTGTTGATCGATTGACAAAATTTGCCCATATCTTGTTCGTTAAAGCGACATATAATGTGGATAAATTGGCTACCCTGTATATGAATGAGATTGTGAGGCTGCATGGAGTACTTGTATCGATTGTGTCTAACAGAGATCCGAATTTCACTTCGAGATTTTGACAAAGTTTTCAAAGGGCAATGGGAACGGAACTGAGGTTGAGCAGTGCATACCATCCACAAACAGATGGCCAATCAGAAAAGACAATACAAACACTAGACGATGTGCTACGTATGTATGTTGGATTTTCAGGGAAATTGGGAAACACATTTACCATTAGTTGAGTTTGCATATAATAATAGCTATCATTCAAGTCTTGGCATGGCACCATACAAGGCTCTTTATGGCAGGAAATATCGGTTGCCAATTTGTTGGGCAGAAGTTAGAGATAGACCATTATTGGGACCTGAACTTGTACAAAAGACCACTGAGAAAGTAAAGTTGATCCAGCAACGATTAAAAACAGCCTAAAGTTGACAGAAAGTTATGCTGACTTGCATAGATAGGAAACAGAATATGAAGTAAGCAACCATGTTTTTGTCAAAGTTACACCGATGAAAGGACACACTCGTTTTGGAGTTAAGGGTAAGTTAGCACCTCGATACATCGGACCATATGAGATTATTGAGAAATTAAGTCCAGTGGCGTGTCGAATAGCCCTACCTTCAGATATGGAACACATGCATAACATTTTCCATATTTCCATGTTAAGAGAATCTCTCTTAGACCATCAACAAGTTGTTGAACCTACTCAGATACCTATGAGTGATGATTATATGTATACAGAACGACCTTTCCGGATTATTATCCGTTGAATTCAAAAGTTGAGAAATAAAGAGATTCCATTGGAAAAAGTAGACTGGCAGAACTACAATGGCTTATATGCAACTTGGGAAAGAGAAGGGGATATGCAAGCGAAATATCCTGAAGTGTTTCCATTAGACCTTGCACTTTTCACTAAAGAAGGTACTTGAGTTTGGAGGACCAAACACCCTAAGGGGGAGAAACTGTAACACCCGCATTTTACTTAGTTGTTACTTTTATGATTAATCTGAATTATGCATTTATCTATCCTTACATGCTTATTTATGTGCATTATGTTTGTTAACAGATATGTTCCTTTTATGAAAAGACCTGTCTGATTTGTTAAACCGTAGAGTTATAAAATTAGTTAGTGGACTAAGTGGGTAGAGTTGATACACCTTAATCAGGTCAAGCAATAATTTAATTAATTAACTAGTTAATGTAAGTGAAGAGGCTCTCACAAAATTAAGCTAAATTAAACTAGTGATGTATTTATATATATGTGTGACCTCAATTAGAAGATGAAGAGGGAGATATAATTTAAGAGAGTGTCTGAGAGAGTGTTCTAGAGTTTGAGCTTGAATAAGTGATCAAGAAGAAAAAGGAGAGAATTTGAGACAACTTCATCAATTAACACATTAAGGTAAAAATTCTTTCTAATTTTTTGCATGAGACTAATTTTCATCTTGAATTCATGGAATTTAAGGAGAGAGTGAGGAATTGGGTGGTGTAAGTTGTGTTACAAACCCTAATAGGAGGAATCCGTCCATATCTTTGCTTGAATTGCTTGGTCTTGCATGATTCTAAGCTAGATTTTCATGGTTTTGTTGAAATATAGAATCTCCATATGCATAGAGTTTTGTTTCTTTTAAATCTTGAAATTGTTTGTGAGATTATGGAACTTGAGTTTGAATTTGAGGTTCCATTCTTGAGTTGAACATGGAAATTGGTTGTACACTATGTTTGTTAATTTTTGGCCCTTAAATTGATTGACTTTGGGTGTGATTTTGAGGAATGTGAAACCCTAAAAACAAAGTAGAAATTCGGTTCTGGAATACCCAGAACCGCACATGCGGCTAGAGAGCCTACACGTGCGGGAAGTATTGGCGCACATACAGGGGATAGGCCCATACGTGAAGGAAACAGGGGAGAGTCTGTTGGCATTCTGCGTAAAAAGCACCTGGTAGTGCACGTGCGGAGAGAGTCTGTTGGCATTCTGCGTAATATTAACCGATACTCTAAAAATATTTTTTAGTATTTTTTTATTATTATTATTAGAATCATACGATTGTTGTGGGTGGGTTTCTCATAGTAAGAAAAGCCTCATTGACTCTAGTAATTTTTTAATTTTTGAACGAACTCATTGACTCCAATGGAGGAGAAGTTATTTGGTGGTATGGGTATCGGCGTTAGAGCATCTCTGATGGTGTATTTTTTTTTTTTTTATTAAATTGGAGTAAAAATTTGAGTAAAATCTTCATTTGATATCAAGTGCTCTAATTTGAGGAGAAGTTATTAAGGCTTCATCAAACCACCTGTCGATAGGGCGGACAACCAGTTAGTGTAATTTTTTCATAAATGTTTGCCTTGAGGTGGTCATTTGAGGGACATCCGAGGGGACATCTGGTGGCGAAACTCCAACAAAAAATGAATAGTGATTTAATGAAAGACACAATTATCCTTAATTTGATGAAAGATTTGAGAAATCCTAAATTTAATGATGGATTTGATGAACCGTTAGAGGAGCAAAAAGTATATTTTTTCATTAAATTTAAATTTAATGATGAATTTAGGCCTCATTTGGCATGTAATGTTTTTAGCTTAAAAGTCAAAAAATTATTAAAAAATCAAAAAGCCTATAACCTATACCAAAAAATCAATGATTTTTTTTTTCTCTCTACTTTTTATACATTTTTTGTAAAAAAAAAATAAAGTCATTCCAAACATACTAATCTTTTTTATCTCATATTTTAATTAAAAAATTATTAAAGTAACATATTCTCAAAGGTGACCTTAATGAACCATTAGAAATGATTTTAGCAGAGAAGATAAGGTCCAACCTTTGTGCAGGATCATGAGAAAATAGCAAGAGGTCAAGATATTTGGTGACTGGTAAGGTACATTTTCATGTGGTGCCCTTGCTCCACCTTATTTTTTTTCCTAGAATAGAGCCTTGCAGCAGACAAAAAGGAAGTCCAAAAACTCAAAAATAAAAAAATAAAAAAAAATCAAAATTTTATTGAAATTTTAAAATTTAGGAATAATTGCATCCTAGTGGAATTTTGAAAATAAAAAATTAGAAATTCATAAATAAAAAAATTATAATTGTAATTATTAATATTTAAAAAATTTCTCACTAATTTATAATTATTTTTACAAAATTATATTGATATAATATTTCTCCTAAAATTTAAGGTTAAGATTTATTTATAAAATGACCACATAAATAAATTTGAAATTCTAGGTTAATTATTATTATTATTATTATTATTATTATTATTTTATGGTTCAATAGGTTTTTCCAAAGGAGAAGTAGTTAAAGTGGCTCAACTATTAAACCTTTTGCATTATTGACTAAAATTCAAAAAAAAAAAAAAAAAATTCTCTATTATCAAAGGACCTAATATTGAGGCTTTTCCCAATATAAGCCTTTTTTACATTGTATTTCCAAAACTAGGCCGACTTCTGACGGAATTCCAAAACTAAGCTAAAGCGCCATTACTATTCGCGCTTTTACTGTTAGGAGCGCAAAAGTAGATGAACAGGAAAATCGCTATTACAAATAGCAATCGCTATTAGCAATAGCGTTTTTCTGGCAAAACAATTTTGTGTAAAAAGCGCTGTTCTTAACAGCGTTTTCCTTGGGAAAAAAATTAACCCTAGAAGCGTTATTTGTAACAGCGACTTCTTAATCAAAGTCGCTATTTGTAATAGCGATTTTCCTGTTCATCTACTTTTGCGCTCCTAATAGTAAAAGCGCAAATAATAATGGCGCTTTAGCTTAGTTTTGGAATTCCGTCAGAAGTTGGCCTAGTTTTGAAAATACAATGTAAAAAAGACTTATATTGGGAAAAGCCTCCCTAATATTTTCAATAGTTAATTAAATAACTCAATTTGAAATTGCCAAAAACCTTGAACAGGTAGAGGGTTAGACCAAAATTTTACCTAGAATATAAAATCTAATCCAAGGCTAAACATGTCTCTGCCCTGTGACTTCCAAGTGTAAGTCCCAGTGATCCCAACAATCTGCCAAGTTGCAAAATCATGAAACATATGTCTGCCTACAACTTCCATATACCTACAAAATTCACATATATACATACATAAATTCTCATACAATGGGGTGTTTTGAAAAGTTGGTAAAAGTTAGTTTTTTTAGTCTATTTTATCTTTTTATAAGTAAAAAATATGAGAGATAATATGACCCAAAATGAATAAAAAGTTAAAAGTTGGCTTTTTAACTCCTTACCCAAGCACCACAATATATATCTATATACCAGGTGGCAACAAGCTAGGGCAGTGAACTATGAAGTATAGATATTACAAAAAATATGTCGTATCCGTATCGAATACTTATCGGTATATGGTACCTCATGTAGTACTTCTACATATATATCAGGTATACGAAAAGCATACTCAATTTTTTTTTTTTTCTAAATTTTTGACGTATCCCAGACGTACCTAGAATATACTCAAGCCGTACCACACCTCAATTGAAACAATATTTTTTTTCTACTACGGAGATAAAACTTCTGTCACTAGACTTCTTTTTTACTTTTAGTTTTATACTTAGCATGCTACAAAAAATTACATTTTTAGCGAACAAATTTGGCGGCTAAAAAAAATTTAGTCGTCAAAAGTTGTAGAATTAGCGATCAAAAATTATATTAGTCCCAAAAAGTACAATTTCTTGTAGTGGCATGATTTAAAATCAAATTATAGTTTGTAAGTTATTTAATATATTGACATTTAATTTTGATTTATACCTTTACTTTGGCAGTAAATGTTAATTATAGATTGGATCTCAACATATTAAATCATTTTATTAATTTTTACATTACTATAAATTAAAAATAAATATTTTTTTTTATAAGCATATCACATCGTACACATATCCTATTTTTTAAAAAAATTTTACGGTATTACCGTACCAATATTCTTACTCGTGCTTCATAAGCAGTGAATAATACCCAATTGGACAAGTGGCATGTAAGTCAATCCACAGAAACACGTGTTGTCACCTGGGGAAGACAGAGCAACTATGTTTCTTTGCAAGAAAAGCAATTACGTGTTGGTTTAGGGAGCTATGCTTGCAGTGCTAAAAAGAACATCTTGGTTTTGCTGAGTTTTGGAGGTTTTACATATGATCATTTCATGTATGTATGGGTGTTTGGTATTTGAGTTGTTTTAGGTTTTTGTTCTTCGAGGCTTCTTGAGCAAGACAGATCAAATCCAAAACATAACATGAAGGTTTCTTTTCTCTTATTGGTTCAACCCAATATGTAATTTGCATCTATTCTTTCTATTTCTTCGAAGAACTTCTTACAAAATCACGTGCTTTTCATTTTAAATCAAAACATTTTATAAAATTGTAAAAATATAATTGTATTGTCACACAATTCTTTTATGATTTTATCTATAAAAACTCAGTTTATAGATAAAAAGTGTTTAAAAGAAATTATGAGTTTTATGAAAATTTGTATATTCTTTTTGTAAACATTCTGCTTGTAGAATTCTTAAAATTCTGTTTTATGAATTATATATATATAAGTTGTTTCTTTTAGGGCAAATTACAAACACCCTCTCGAGGTTTGGTAAAAATGCAGATTCCCCTCTGAGGTTTGAGAAATTACAAATTACCCCCTGAGGGTTAAATTTTCATGACAAATTAGGGGAAATTAGGGAGGAATCTGTATGAAAATAAAAATCTCAGGGGGCAATTTGTTATGGAAATATAAACCTCAGGGGGTGGGATGTAATTTCTCAAATCTCAGAAGAGAATCTGTATTTTCACCAAATCTCGAGAGGGTGTTTGTAATTTGCCCTTTCTTTTAATATATTGTTGTTTTCTGATTCTTAACAAGAATTCTAAGAAATAAGTTTTAGTTGGTGTTGGTGTTGGTGTTGGTGTTATGTCAATGACTCCAAATATTTGGTATTTAATAGTGTGGTGGTTTCTCTTTCTGTCAAATTGCAAATTTCTTAACCAGATTTGAATCTAAAATCTTGGGTTTGTTTAAAAATACTTTTACTATTTAGATAACATATATATTATGATATTAATAATTTCTTTATTATTTATTTTTGTACTTACTTGTCTAAATTGCACACTCACTCTATATAGATTTACATTATTTTTGGTATATACTTGAAAAGGAAGGTGCAACAAGAGGCTTCCTTATTTTTTATTTTATTTTATTTTTTCGTCCTATTAAAAATAAAAATAAATTAAAAGGGTCATGAAACAAGGTCTCATGCTCACTCAAGGGGTGATGAAGAAAAAATGGTGACAAGGAAGCAGAAGGCAGAAGGGAAGACCCATGAGGCTGAGCATTCACCTAAGAAGTCTAAATCCAAAAACGACGACGGCCATTTTAACGGAAAATCGACCGGTGACTTTGCTGCCGAGTTCGATAACTTCTGTAAAGCAGTGAGAGAACACCTCTCGGTTGCACAAATGCGCGAAATTCTGGAAATCAATGGCCAGGATTCTTCCCGGTCCGATGATGATGTCGTCGCTCGATGGTTAGTTACATTAATTCCATTCTATTGTAGAAATTTGTTTTGAAATAGCTGTTTTGTGTTTTTTAATGTTTAGAGTTGCCAAGTGTCAAAATTTCATGACATGATTGTTTAGAGACCAGTGTGTTAGATTTTTTGTAATTAACAATCTCGTTGTAATTTATTTGCTCTTTTATTTCAGTGAAATGTTTAGATATGAATCCAATCAGAATTGTGACAGTGTAGAAAAGTTTGTGCTGACATTTTATATTTTGAACATTCTTTAATTGTCATTTTGCTAACTATGTATGGGGCAACGCCGCCAATGCCAAAAGAAGTCAAAGTGGTTTGACCGCTCGAGTGGTCTTTTGTGAAGTGAATCATTCAGTGTCTACAAATCGAATTTTTGGGAAAATGTTTCGCTACTCGAGCGGTTGGCTTATATGTTTCCACTGCCTTTTACTCACACCACTCGAGCGGTAAAGTGTGTATTCGAGTAGTTTTCACGACTCTATTTAGTATAAAATATGTTGTTCGTTAGTTTGAGGGTTTAATCCGTCTAAATTCTCAAAGAGAAGAGCTACCAACATTTTTTATATTAGAGGGGTTTATATATTGGTTTACTTGATGATTTAAGAGTTATCGATGGATTTATGAGGTTCATATTGACATAGTCTAGGGATTTATTTTTATTATTTTATTCACAAAAGAGAGGTGTTCTTCGATAGAGAAATTTGAGCCTGAAACTTTGATGGATTCTAGGTGACTCATTGTCGTGAATTCGACATTTGGCATCATAGATTCGACGTTGGGCAAAGCAATTCTGATGTGAAGGTAGTAGTGGAAGAGGCACATCGACTTTGGTTCAATTTGGGCATATTCACTAAGTAATTGAGGATAGTCGTGTATAATTCTTTTTTGTCTTCTTAGTAAATTGTTTTATGGTTTCGGTTTGTAGTTTTTTTTATCACAATTAGAGGTACTCTGATTATGATTTTTTTTACATTAAAGCATTATGCCGATTTGTGATTGATTATTTGATTAGGATTGATATTCTGTTTTTAAAATTCAAACATAATTACAAATCAATGTAAGATTTTTAGATTTTTTTACAGTGTTATTATGTCACAATGTGAGGGTTCAATTGTATTTTTTTGGCACCTTAGGGAGTCGGGTAAGAAGTAAGATTGTGTCATATAATTACTAAATGAGATCGATTTAATTAATTATCAGAATCATAAAAAGGATACCAGATTGGACCGTCTAGTGCTTCTTTTGTACGTGAGACAAGCTGGTTCTGGGTGGTAGTGGCGGAAGACGGTGGTAGAAAATGGTGGTGGGTGGGGGCTAGTGTTGGGTGGTAAAAAAATAAAAACTCAAAACTCAAAATGGGAACACATTTTTTGTGTTTTCATTTTTTGGCCAAATTTATAAACTGAGACCACTGATTTATAAATCAAAATTTTTACCAAACAAGTTTTTATTTGAGTTTTTTTAATTTTTGTAAATATAAATAGAAAACTGAAAACGTAAGTGTTACCAAACGGCACCTCAGTGTCTACAAATTGAATTTTTGGAAAAATGTTTCACCGCTCGAACGGTTGGCTTATATGTTTCCACTGCCTTTTACTCACACCACTCAAGCGGTAAAGTCTATATTCGAGCAGTTTTCGCGACTCTGTTTAATATAAAGTATGTTTACTATAAAGTATGTCGTTTGTTAGTTTGAGGGTTTAATCCATCTAAATTCTCAAATAGAAGAGGTACCAACATTTTTTATATTAGAGGGGTTTATATATTGGTTTACTTGGTGATTTTAGAGTGATCGATGGATTTATGAGGTTCATATTGACATAATCTAGGGATTTATTTTTATTATTTTATTCACAAAAGAGAGGTGTTTTTCGATAGACTCTGAAAAATTTGAGCCTGAAACTTTGATGGATTCTAGGTGACTCATTGTCGTGAATTCGACATTTGGCATCATAGATTCGATGTTGGGCAAAGCAATTCCAATGTGAAAACAGTGGTGGAAGAAGTACATCGACTTTGGTTCAATTTGGGCATATTCACTAAGTAATTGAGGATAGTCGTGTATAATTCTTTTTTGTCTTCTTAGTAAATTATGTTATGGTTTCGGTTTGTAGTTTTTTTTATCACAATTAGAGGTACTCTGATTATGATTTTTTTCACATTAAAGTATTGTGCCGATTTGTGATTGATTATTTGATTGGGATTAATATTCTGTTTTTAAAATTCAAACATAATCACAAATCAATATAGGATTTTTAGATTTTTTACAGTGTTATTATATCACAATGTGAGGGTTCAATTGTATTTTTTTGGCACCTTAGGGAGTCGGGTAAGAAGTATGATTGTGTCATATAATTACAAAATGAGATCGATTTAATTAATTATCAGAATCATACAAAAGGATACCAGATTGGACCGTCTAGTGCTTCTTTTGTACGTGAGAGAAGCTGGTTCTGTTTCTAAAATTACATTTTTTGAAAAGTAAATATAATGAAATCATTTTTCAATGATTTGCACACAAAATTAGAAAATGATGATTGAATGGATTGTATGTATGATTGATCACAGCCTAGACATTATGTTTTACGGGGGCGCTAGACAAATGTGTGGTATGCGGCAGCACATTGGAGTCCATTGTTACTAACTACTATTCGTGCAACGGGGATTATAGCGAATGGTCAACTTGCAGCTTCAATACCACTAACCCGCCCAGGGTCAAAGAACTTATCAAACTACCCGAATCAGTTCAAAAACCACCTGTTTCCGATGTAACTCTCAATCTGATAAACCTATGTTGTTTACTAGTAATCATCAAATGTAGTGATCATTGTTCTAATCTCTTACTTGTCTTTATGTCGATGTAGTTGACAAAGAATCACCACAAAGACAGAAAGCGGCGCCCAAAGAGGGACTCTGGATCCACATACAAACCATTTGCGGGAATGGTGATTGCTTTATCGGGTCGACTATCTCAAACACACGTATGTATATGTCCCTCCGTTGGTACCATGGTCAGTCGTATTGACAATGTGTCGTGGTTTTGACTTTCTTGCTAATTGTGTTCTTTGCAGCAATACTGGAAATCCAAGATTGAAAAACATGGAGGGAAAGTTTCGAATTCTGTTAGTGGTAATTCCTGAATTAATGAAAAGCCGAGCTGTTTTAGATGTTTTCGTTAACTGTTTTGTGACTTGTTTTTGTAGATGCAGCTTGCCTGGTTGTATCACCTACTGAGCGTGAATGGCTCGTCCAAAGTTGCAGTAGTGTAAGCCCCTGGTACTAAAATCTCATTATACAAAAGATTTAATAAGCATACAATACCAAGCTATACATATATATTTTATACATGTTTAACATATACATTCCTCCAAAAAAAAAAAAAAATGGCTCGAATCCTCTATTTACTCACGAAAAATTCATTTCTACAAAAAACACGGAGTACTTCAAAAAATTTCATTGTTCACACATGACATATATATTCCTCCTAAAATGGCTTGAATTTGACCATTTACTATTGAAATTTTTTCCTCGAGAATTGACAACAATTCGCCCAAAGATTTTTAAATAATCACTGATATGTACCAGATTTGTACTGGTTGGTTCTCGATACATATTGATTCACTGCTAATACATATCAGTTCACAATTTATATGCGGCTGCTATGAAGTTCCTTTTTTCTTTTTCTTTCTTTTTTTTTTTTTTTTTTTTTTTTGTTTCGGCCAATGATGATTTTAACAAATTCACAACTGCATGACCCAATTCCGGATATCACTATTTAATGACTTGATTAGTACTTGAAAAGTTTTATTTGGACGGGTGTTCAATATTTGACATTGGAAAATGTTTGATAGAGAGAGGGGCGTACCAGTAGTAAGTGAAGCTTGATTAGTCGACAGCATTGAGAAGCAGGAACCTCAGCCTCTAGAGGCTTACAACGTCGTCAGGATCTGGTGGATAGCAGAGGAATTCCATGGAACAAGAAAGATCCTAGTGACGTGGCACTTGAATCCGTTGTAGCAGAGGTACGCTCTCTCGTTAAATTCACATTAAAAAAAAAAAATTCCTCACTAATTTTGTCCTCAAATGTCTATTTCATCTCACAACTTGACTTGTGGATGCGTAGGTCAAAGTAAATGGGAAAAGAGGAGTTCACAAGGATTCTAAATTGCAAGAACAAGGCGGGCAAATTTTTGAAAAAGATGGGATATTGAACAACTGTGCCTTTTCTCTTTGCGATTTACGACGACTCGTGAATGAGTACTAAAATTACCCTTCAACCCTTTTATCATTTGATCTGGTTTTCAGTTGTGTCCTTTCTGAATATTTAGGATTTGTGTTTAATTGGTGCAACATTTGCGTAATGCAACTGATTATGGTACCTAACACTGGCTTGCATCTGTACTACACAAAAGGGAGAGCCAGTGATGGTACAAAAGCAGAAGAAAGGCTCGAAGAAAGGGAAAATGTGGACGGTGCTGTCAAGGAGTTTGCTAAGCTGTTTCAGGAGCTAACCGGAAATGAGTTCGAGCCATGGGAAAGGGAGAAGAAGTTTCAGAAGAAACCGCGGAAGTTTTATCCTGTAGACATGGTAATTATTATTAATATTATTATTTGTTAAAATTCAATGTATAAAGAGAAATAGAGAAATTGATGTATTATTGATTGATGATATTGTGTTGATTATGTTTACAATGAGTCCTATATATAGAAGATTTAGAGGAGGTAGGTATGTAGTAGGTGGAGTAGTAGGTGGAGTAGGTGAAGTGGGTGGAGTAGGTGTAGTGGTAGGTTTTAACAGCCCCCGCAAACTCAAGGGGAATAGGAACTAACCAACTTGAGTTTGGAGAGAGTAACAAAACAAGAAAATAGACGAATACATAAAATAAAAGAGGAGAGGAGACATTATATGGTCGTGTCAGACCGTTAGTGAAGACACTGGATGGTTGTGTCATAACGTTGTAGAGGACACTGTATGGTGGTGTCATAACGTTGTAGAGGACACTGTATGGTTGTGTCATAACGTGGTAGAGGACACTGTATGGTTGTGACAGACCGTTGTAGCAGATAAAGTCTGGACAGTTGACGAGGTCACACCGGACCGATGGAGAAGCTAACCGGAATCAATGTCGGAATAGTTTATGGGGTCATGTCGGACCGTAGGAAAAGCTAACCGGAATCAATGTCGAGACAGTTTTATGTGGTCATGCCGGACCGTTGTAAAAGTCGCACCCTCAAAAGGTGTGCCCAATTTTTCAAAAGGCGTACCCAATCCATAAAAAGGCGTGCCATCAAAAGGCGTGCCCAATCCATAAAAAGACGTGCCATCAAAAGGCGTGCCATCAAAAGGCGCGCCCATGTTGTCGTCGAGCGCCGAGCGGCGCATGATACGCGTGTCTGCCTTGGCTATTTAACCAAGGTTGAGGCGGAGGCTGTGCAAACCAGTCTGAAACCACCGAACATTTGCATTCTGAAATACTCTGTAAACATTCTGTAACCAACCCTTCTCTGAAACACTCAGCAACCCATAACATGGCCTCTTCTTCCCGTCCAGCTACCCAGAACATGGCATCCTCTTCCCGTGGTCTGCTCACGCTCTTTCCCGACCTCAACGAGTCCACAAGAGAGATAACTGGTGCGGTTGCCCTGGAACCTCAACCAAGCGCCTCTGTTTTTGCACCGTTGAACTTTCCGATGCGGTCTGTGGAGCAAAGAATGGCAGTGCAATCGGATGTGGAGGCCAATCAGTATACATTGAAGTCATGTGTGGAAACCATGACTGCAGTCACAAACTTGTCGCACCGGCTGCAGAGTAGGACAAATGAGGTGTAGCAGTTAAACGCTCAACTGGCTCTGCTCCAGCGCATGTATAAGGATGCGCGAGCAGAGATAAGTGTGTTAAAGGCGGAAAACAAGGAGCTGAAGCGGAAAGCCACAGTGATGTTCCGATTTGGAGGTCCGCCATATGCTACAGTGGAGGAGCATGGAGTAGTGATCGTGCCCAGTGGAGTGGGAAACACGGAGGCAACACCGTCAAGGGCCGCCCAGGACGGAAGCAAGAAGAAGAGACCGGCGGCAGAGTAGAGAAGAAAAATCCCGCCTGTGGATGTGGTTGTTTTGTTTGTTTTGTTTTTGTTTTTTTTTTTTTGGTGTAAAATTCGGATCGGGGTTGATCCCCGGCATGAAGAAATGACAAGTTTGTGGAATATTTTTGTTTTGGTGTTATTTTGTGTTGTTGTTTTGTTGAAGAATAAAAATAAAATAAAAAATAGATAAAAAAAAATATTTTTGGATGAGTTATTTGAGAAAGATCGGTGTGAGGTGGATGATGGATGTTTTAAAATAAAGTTGGGGGTAGTGACCCTGCAAAAGATATATTATTATAGAGTGGGTATTTGAAAGAGAGTAAAAGTGTTGTGGAGAAAATAAATAAAAAGAAGTGATTTTGAAATCAAACGGAGGAGAGAGAGGGGACAAGCCCATGTGATAAAGTGGAGAGAGAGGGTCTTGGGTTTGCAGATGAGCATGTTTTGTGCTGGTGGAGATTGGTTTAAAAATAAAAAAGGGGGATGGGTGTGCAAAAGGTGTTTGAGTTCAACAAGGGGCAGTGCTTTATAATAAGAAAAATAAAGGTGAGGTAGTGGATGTGTTTGGGAACTGCATGTGAAAGAGTATTCAGTCTGGGGCAGTCAATGGTCAAAACCCAGAATGTGTGTGCACGGTGTTGTGTGTAGGTAGTATCCATGCATGCTGGGTCTGTGTATGATCAGAGAGAGAGTGTCGTGGGTGTGTGTAGCTCCAAGCATTTTTGCTTTCTGCAGTTTATCGTCTTGTACATCAACAGCTATGATCTCAGAGGCACCAAATGCCCGTGCTATCTGCAAACAACTAGAACCAACACCTCCAATGCCAATCACAGCAACGGTATCCCCAGGACGAACCTCAGCTGCATGAGCCATAGCACCATATGCGGTAAAAACTGCACATCCCAAAATAGAAGATTCTGTATACGGCAATGTGTCGGGTAGAATGCACAAACCATGTGCTGGCACGACACAAAAATCAGCAAGGCCACCCATGCACACAACACACCCAGCACAAACACACATAGACACACGGGTTAGGGGGGAGAAGAAACACACCCTCATAACAAATACAGCAGCAACAGCAGCAATTGCTCGGACTCGGAACGCAATCTGGTATGCTACAACAATCTAAGGTTCCGATGCAGCAACAAACCCAGCAGAGTTCTGCAATTTTATTGCCAACCCAAGGTCAATAGTCACAACTAGAACAACCAGCAGCAGCAGCATCAATAGGTGGTGTCGGACATCTCTGATGAAATGTTGCCGCCGTTGATGGCGAAGAACTCGAAGCTATGTGTAGAAAATTCCAGCGGGCAGCGAAGGCAAAGTTGCCGGCCGGCTGCTCGCCGGTGAGAAAACAAATACAGGCCTAAATCTTATAGCTCTGATACCATGTTAAAATTCAATGTATAAAGAGAAATAGAGAAATTGATGTATTATTGATTGATGATATTGTGTTGATTATGTTTACAATGAGTCCTATATATAGAAGATTTAGAGGAGGTAGGTATGTAGTAAGTGGAGTAGTAGGTGGAGTAGGTGAAGTGGGTGGAGTAGGTGTAGTGGTAGGTTTTAACATTATTATTATTATTTTAGTTTTTCACTCTCTCTCTCTAGTTGAGGTAAGTTAATTAGAAAGTGTTTTGCCTATACTATTTAGGGTGATGGAGTCAATGTTAGGCATGGAGGGATCGGTCTACAGCAGAAAGGGGTTGCAGTTGCTCACTGCAAACTAGACCCATTTGTGGCGAATTTCGTGAAGGTTTTGTGCAGTCAAGAGATTTACAGGTTTTTCCCACATCCCTTCGTTCTTTCACAACTTCGTCTTTTTCATTTTCTTTGCTGACCTGGGTTAGCGTTTGTGTTGTCGCAGGTATGCATTGGTAGAGATGGGGTTAGATTCCCTTGACCTTCCAATGGCAATGCTTTCTGATGTCCATTTGAAGAGATGTGAGACCTCTCTCTCTCTCTCTCTCTCCTGTGAGTTTTCACAAAACTGATGACTGTGTTCAGGTGAGGCGATTCTGCTACAATATGTAGAAACCGTGAAAACGCGGAAAGAGACGAGACAAAAGGCCAGAGCCGTGTGGTTGGATTTCAGCATGAAATGGTTCACCCTACTGCATTCTACTAGGCCTTTCATCTTTCATGACTATAACGATCTTGCACATCATGTAAGAGAGAAATATATATATATATATGGTTACATGTCCTGCCATAATTTTACGATACTCGTTTACCTCTGGATCACCAGGTTTTCGTGCAAGAAAAATACTTGGTGGCCCGAATGTCTGTGGCCTGAATGGCTCAAATATATCAAAACGATGTCGTTTTATCTCCAAAATGACGAACAACATCATTTTGAGACATTCGAACCATGTAAATTCAGGCCACCAAGCACTATTGTTTGTGCAATGATGTAGGCTGCAGCTGCATTGGAGTCTGTCAGAGACATTATGGTGGCTTCTCATCTCAAAGTAGACATGAGTGGTCCTACGCTCGATGACCCTTTAATAGATACAATAAATTGGGCTGCTCAATTTCTCCGCATGAGAAGGACTCGGATGACTACAAAATGATCGTGGATTATCTAGAGCAAACTTATGAACCTGTCGAAGTCAGAGACATTGTATTACCCATCCCCTCATGTATATTTATTGTCAGATTCACTAAGAAGTTAGCATGAATAGGATAACAACTCTTTTTTTTCTTTTCTTATCAGAGCTATGGAGTATCTGTTGACAAAATATTCGCAGCTGAACTAAGTGCCTGCCCTTCCTATGATGAAATAAAGAAGATGCCCAACAAAGCCCTATTGTGGTGTAGTATGAAGCCCTCTCTCAATTTTTTTATTGGTTTGGAGAAATTATCACTACTGTTGCATATATGTTAATCTGTGTCAGGTACTCAGAGTTCAAATCTGTTAAGGCACTTGCACAAAGGACTTTTGCCATCAATATGCTCGCTTCCTGTCCCGGGATACATGGTATTTACATGCGAGACTGAGATTTGTATGTATTAATTTCCATTTGAGTTCTAATATTGTGGGTTTCTGACTTCAGTTGGGGAGGGCAATAATTTGTTCAGATGCTGCTGCAGAAGCCGCTACATATGGATTTACTGCAGTTGACAGACCAGATGGATTCTTGGTTTTGGACATTGCTTCTCTGGGTGAGCAAATTACAGAGTACAATAGGACCCCGGAAGCAGAGGTATGCAAATCTGTTTTTCCAAGCTGTTAAACGACGAGGGGCGGTATGTTGTAATGTGTTTGTTGCTTCATTCAAGCTAAGTGAAGACTATGGAAGAAAGGAAGGTGGGGGTGAAGGGATTGGGCGAAAGAAAACAGATGAATCAGAGCACTTTGTTTGGAAGGATGACATCGAAGTCCCTCGTGGTAGATTGGCACCCTCAGAGCACAAAGATAGTCCTCTTAAGTACAATGAGTATGCTGCCTATGATCCGAATCAGGTATGGCTGTTTGTTTCAGATTGTGTGAATTTTCCGAGGTAAAGAGATGATGCTGATTGGGCTGGGGATCCTACGGATCGACGCTCCACCACGGGTTTCTGTTTCTTCTTAGGGGATTCTCTTCTTGCTTGGCGTAGCAAAAAACAATCCCTCACTGCCCGCTCTAGCACCGAAGCTGAATACCGAGCTCTTGCTGATACTACTCAGGAACTTCTCTGGCTTCGCTGGCTCCTTGCTGATATGGGTGTTTCTTCATCTGCTCCTACCCCTCTCTATTGTGACAATCATAGTGCCATTCAGATTGCTCACAATGATGTTTTTCATGATCGCACCAAACATATTGAGATTGATTGTCATTTTATTCGCCAGCATGTCACCTGTGGAACTGTTCATCTTCTTCCTATTGCTTCAGTCGATCAACCCGCTGATATCTTCACTAAGGCTCATCCTCCTGGCCACTTTATAATTTTAATTTTTTTTGGTGATCAATAATAAAATAATAATAACTTTATGAGTTAAATTTAAGTATAAAAATTTAATTATTTATTATTAATAGCAACTAATCAAAATTTTATAATAATGTGGAGTAATTCGGACACAATAGTAATGTCATAATGCAATTTTAGCACAAATAATTACAAATTAAAATTCGTAATTTTAGAAAATAAAAGCAAATCATTTATAACACAAATATTATAAAATTTTTATAATTTTTATTTGATTGAAAAATATTAGACAAATAATATTGATTATAAAAATGTGTTTTGAATAGAAATTATTAGATAATTTCAAAATATTATGTGGGGTTGATGACGTGGTTGTTTGAATATAAGAAATCACAACTCACACTAAGTGATTCACCTATTATCTTCCAATTACTTAACAATAATGAGTTACTATGTTCCATTCATAAAATTTGACACTATATTATTGATTTAGACCATCACATAAATAACATCATATGACACTCTAAGAGTACTAAATAAGCTACATATTATACGTGAACAACGCAACAAAAAAAAAAAAAAAGTCAAAATTGAGGGGGGCACATGACTCCCTAACCCTACAGTGGCTCCGCTACTGGTTGAAACCATTTCAAGGAGTATCATAGTAAAAATTAAATTTAGTTAAAAAGAGTGTCTTAAAGAGAGCGTGGATCCATCGGTATAGATTCAAATCAGCTTTCCAGCACTTCCACTAGATGCACATACATGCATGCATTTAAATTTATGAGAACATCACTTCATCACTTTTCTGTTGCGCAAAAAATTGTCAACTAGCTCATGTGTGGAAAGTTTTTTTAGTAAATAGCAAGGCAGTGAGAGGTTGGGGAATAATCACAAAATTTTGAAAATCGGCAATACATTACACCTAAGAATTGCATCAATTATTCTAGCTAGGCAAGGCAAATAAATGGAATAAGAAAGAATGTAATACCTTCTTCCCTAGTGATGTACAAATGTTGAATTGACCAGTTTGTTGTACGACAGTTATCTTCAAGTCTCACATGTGAGGGCTGTAGCTCATGACTGTATAGAACATTGGAGTAACCATGCTATTATGTCAACTGTAAAGCAAACCTTTAATTATGTACAAAAAAAAGAAAGGTAGGATTACTCAAATTTAATATCCATCCAGTTCAGCACAAGAAGTGAGACAGGAAACATTTCCAGTGTCCATGATGCTATGTTTACAACCCTTCAATAATTAATGGAGATCAATCATGATGCATTTGTTGTAGTCATGCAATAAAAAAATAAATAACTCTTTGATGACCATACTTTTACAGTATCATTTCTATGAATCTGGCCATGAAGGCTCCTTTATTTCCAAAGAGCACCTCATAAATTGAAACAAATAAACTATCAGCCCATAGAATATAAAGCATGCAAATCAGAGACAAGATCAGAATAAGTGAAAACACCGACCTGTGAATACGGCTTCATCTTTTTAACTCCCTTGACCCACATAAAAATAACAATTGGACGGTTGAATCTCTACTAGGTTCTAAATGCAAATTCAGGATATGTTTGATGCAGTTTAAAAACAAACTAAAACACAAGCTTCCATTGATGACAACCTCTCCACCTATGGGATAAGGCTACAGATATATCAGACCCTCTTCAGATCCCACAATAGAGTCTTGGGGACTGCTTTTAACTTACTTTGTTGTGCAAAATTTTGTTATAAACCAAAAAAAAGCCCCCTCCCCCCCTCAAAAAAAAAAAAAAAAAAACAGAATTCCAGTTGTTAAGGCCTCTTTACTTATAAAGCTCCTTTCTATAGTTTCATATCAGTGGAAATACCTTGAATAAGTTAATCACTGTTTGCTTTCTCTCAAACCCTTTCACCTATAGACAACTTGTCCATTTAAAAGTGAAGTTTCTAAATCTAGAACTCGGTTATTGGAATTGCAATGCACTTCTTGTATTTTAGCAATAACTTCATATATTTGGATAATCAGTCATACAATGACCTCAAATAAAAGAAATGTCATCCATAACGTTTGGCAACTTTCAATTTTAATCAAAAAGTCAAAAAATCACTATATATATTGTTACATCACCTTTCTTTTTTTTTGCACACTTTTTCGTAAAAAGTCAACAAATTACTAAAATAGCATATTCCAAACGAGTTAATCTCACACATGATTTTGCAAACTTCCATATCAGAACTTTTCAAGCAAAGTCAACAAAATGGTGCAGACCAATTATTGGTAAGAAACAGTAATGATTCAAGTAATGATTCAGACCCTCACAAAATATGACCCCCACATCCTCCACTCACTTGTGATTGGTCCAAGTAACAAAGAAAGGGAAAGAAAAAAAAAAACAAAAAAAAAAAAACAATACAAGTACATCATTAGTTCACATCACTGTAGAGGTAGTGGGCATCTCCCTAAAAGGGTCCCAAACATTTTGAGATAGAAAGTATTTAACGTTTAGCCAAAACAATAACGAACAAAAGCATACAAGAATGCATCTCCTCTATTTCAATTTTACATCAAGTAACATCTTTTTTATGGTATTGGGTCTACAAATAGAACAGAATTCAACAGTGTTTGTCAATATCTTCATCTCACTGGAGGCTACTAGTAGAACATGAACGGAAAACTTTTCAAGTGGAATTTCCACAGAATCAAAAGGTTTCAATGCGTGTGAAGAAAATGTCATCGATACATTACCACGGATGGGAACTTGAACTTATCCGAGATGAACGGTATTACTTGCGGTCTGTTGACCAAATCACCATAAAGATCATACTCTGCTTGATAGTCATGTAAATCCAGTTCAGCTTTCTGATTCGTATGGTAATGATGCTTAGCTGAATCCACTTTCCCAAACCCAAATATGCTAACTTTATCACAAATTCCCAAAGCAAGCATCACAGCTTGCATACCAGAAGAGTAATGGAACATAAGACCATCATGGGCAGAGCTCCATTGTTCTAGAGGCTTGTTCGACTCCTCAACAAACCGTTTCAAAGAGTAATACTTCACAATCCGAGAACACAACACATCGAACCGAGGATCTGTAATTACCAAAGGGGCTTTGTGAGAAGAATTACAGAGTGTGTAATCCAAGAAATGGGAAAGTTGGCAAGTATAAATAACCATTGGAACATTTTCACCATAAGGATGGCAAAAACAGCCCTGTCTTCGAGCACACAAATGCAATATATTGCTATTAACGAACGAAATGCTCGTTTTCGAACCAACATTGCGCTCAAAACGACCAGTCCTCGCATTGTTCAATCGAATAACCAATTCATGACTATCAATCAACTCACCATACTCATTCTTCAACAAAATCCCACTGTTCCCTACCACAGCACAAGACGAGTACGTCCTATTGTGGCTATCAATCGGAACCCTAACAAGACCGACGAGCTCCGACAAGATGTCCGGGTGAAACCGCCTGTTCCGCCACCAATCTTGCAAGTGACGCCGGAACTCCAACCACGCCCGGTAAAACTCCGGCGACCGGATCTGAACCGGAATCCCCCTGGCCGTCCTCGCTCGAATGTCATCGTCGAGGCGATTGTAGCTGCTGCTTCCCGAGGAGAGAAACGACCTGTGACGACCTTGATTCCCGAAACTCCCCTCCAACAACTGCTCGATATCTTTCTTCATCTGCACATCCCCCAAATCAACCTCCGCCAATTTCATCAGCGTCACATTCAACACCACCACCGCAGGTTTTCCGGCCACGGCGGAGTTAAATCGAAGGCTAATGCTGACTCGGCAGCTGAGAGTGACTACCAAGGCAATCAGAAGCAGAACAGCGAAGAGAGGCTTCACAGAGGGCTTCATTGATGGAGATGAAGAGAGATCGAAAAACGCCGATGCTAAATTTTGAAGCAAAAAGATCTACTACCAATGGATACAGATCTTGAAGTTGGAGTTGGAGTTGGATCGTCGTTGTCGTTCTTCATCTGTGAGGAGGATTGGAATGTGTTATACATAACAATATAACTATAGGTGTACATATATGTGTAGAGAAACTACTGTAAGTAAACCCTAGGTTGAATGAGGGAAGTGTGGATCTGGGGAGGGATGGAAAGAAGAGGGAGGGAGGGAGGGAGGATGAACCAGGAAGGAACTATAATATATTAACAAATAATATGGTTGGAGCATATACATATTTTAATAATTTTCCATATGGGTAATAGATATAGCTCTTTGTTGTATCTATCAAGTCCAAGTCAGATGTTTGTGTGGGGGGAGTTTAAAAGGTGTGCTGAAATGGAGGTTATAAATGTGCTTTAGGTAGTTACATGGTTAGTTCCCTATCATTGGCAGGAAAAAAATTATAGCCTCCAATTGGCACATGTACTGTGGAGATAGTTCAATCATTAAATTATTTAATTTTTTTAATAGTATAATTATTATATTTTAAAATATTAATTTTTAAAATTTATCTTTTAATAACATATTTTTTTAAGAATATCAATTGTTGTAATTATACTTTTGTATTGTTAAATTTAAAATGACAAAATAAAAAATTTATATTATTTTAGTTTTTGATTTTTGAAAATAGATTAATATTTTGAGATAGTGAAAAATGAAATAAGAGATTAATATTTTGAAACGAAATGAGTACTTAAATGTTTATAAAAAAAAATTGTAGTCACTTAAGATGTATAAAAATAAAAATAAAAAATTTAAATTTAACCGTGTTACATTCACACAAAATTCTCTTTCACAAATCTCTTGAATGGTGTGACAAGATTAGCTAGAAGATTTTAAAAAAAGAGAGTAGTGGCCTTTGGCAGAGCGTGAGTCATTAATTTATCTTTTTCTTATCACATTATTCAAAGAAATTTATGAAAAAAAATTATTTGAATAAAATATTTTTAAAAAAAATTATTGTGGAAGGTCTAAAATTCTCAAAACTTAATTACATAAAACTTTCTTTTAATCTCTAGCCTACTAATAGTTGGAAGAAAATAAAACAAAATAAAAAAAACAATCTTTCGCCTACTTAGGCTTCTAAAAACCTTGGCCGGCCATTGCTTACATGGGTAGGGTAATAAAAAGACAGGATCTACACCAGAAGGTATTGTGATGAATTCGGTCCTATTTGATGAGGTTCTTTTTTATTTTTTTTTTTTTTTTTTTTTTTTTGGGATTGTAAAAATATAAAATATTAAACGAGTTATAATTATTGAATAAATTTTTTTTATGGTACACATAAATAATTTTACAAAATAAATAATTTAAAATATCAAAATAGAATACACACCCCCACTGATGGGGAAAAATCGACAACTAAGTCATCGTTTGGGAATCCTCATTTTTAGTCAAAAAGTTATTAAATTAGGCAAAAAGTCAACAATCATATCAAAAAGCCAAAGATTCTCTTTTCTCTCTACTTTTTGCACATCTTTTCACTAAAAAATCATTCCAAACATACTAATTTTTTTTAACATATATTTTAGCTAAATAATCAAAAATTTACTAAATTAATCTGTTTCCAAACGAGGCCTAAGACGGCAAACAAGTAGGCTAAGGTAGCGAATTCTCACCATAGATAAGATCAAGTTCGGTGATTGCATCTTTCGAATTTTGTCATTTTTTGTAAATTTTTGGACAACGTTAATCGGATTTTTTTTTTCTTTTGTTTTTTTTCCTTTCATGTACTACAAACCTATTAAAGTGCACAAAAGGTTAGAGCAAAGGACAAAAAAAAGGTCTAAAAAACAGGTTTAGTTTGAACTTTTTTTTAGTTTGATTTATTTTCTGTTTTATTATTTTTTTTAATTATTCAAATGATTTTACTTTTTAGATTCATCTCAACTACACAATTTTACAAATTTTTAATTTTTTAAATTTTTTTTAAAAAGTTTAGAAAAGACATAAATAAATCAATTTTTGTAAAAATAATTTTTAAAATTTTAGTTTTTTATTTCTTTAGTTTTTTTTTTATTCTTATTTTTGTCGAATGAAACTGAGAAATAATCGTCAAACAAACAGCATGAGGTCAAATTCATAACACGATATCTAATGGTTCATCAATTGTCGCATCAAATTTAAATTTGATAAAAAATAATCTTTTTTTTTTTGCTCTAATACTGTGTCTGATTGGGCGATTTGTGAAAAGATTTGAAAATAGAAAAAGAAAGGGAAAAAGTGTGTGAAATTAAATAAAATACAGGTATATTTTATTCATATTTCACTTACCTTTTTTATTTCATTTTCCAAATCTCTCCTCCATTCCTTCAACTATGCATAATATAATAGTTTCATCAAATGAATATCAAATTGAGGATATTAAAAATCTTTCACCAAATTGAGTATGCCTAAGAGTTTTCATCAAATCACTGTTCATAGGCGTTAGATTTTCACCACCGGATGTCCTCCCAGATGACCACTTCTAGGCAAAAATTTGTGAAAAAAATGCATTGGCCGGTCAACCGGCCGGGCATGTGCCCGGTCATCCATTCGATCAACCGGTGTTTAGATAAAAACTTAAAATCCTCCATTGGAATACTTAATATCAAATGAAATTTTTCCTCAAAATTTTTATTCAAATTTGATGAAAAAAAAAAGAAGAGAAAGGGATGCACCGCTAATGATACTCTAATAAAACTCATTATTTTGTCTACTTATTAGAAAATTATTCACACCATATCATTTTATCAAATTTTAAAAAGAAAAATGAGAGGGTCCACACGGTTCGTGTGTAAAATCAAATTTTAAAACCAAGCTAATATCCCTTAAATTTGGCTATTTTCAAGTATAAACAACATCGTATGAAATGATACCCAAATCCAATACTAACTAAGATGGGTTTGGGATTTGGCTTTCTTAGTAATTTTTAAATTTTTTGGCTTTTTTTATAATGTGAAATATATATATATATATATATATATATATTTGAGAATTAATTTTTTAGTTGTATACAAAATTATGAATGTTTGAGGGAAAAATTAGTCTAAGGTCTCTCTCCCATTTTTAGTAATAGAAGAGATCCGCAATATTATTTTATGATGTCTAAAGTCCCTACAGAGAAATTTGATATCCAATTCTATTCTAACCTGAAAAATCGACACTGTATGAAATCATCTTCTCACACAAACGCACACTCTCTTTCTACTTTCTCTCTCTAAAACTATATATATCTATCTGTCTCTGAAACAGTCGACACTATTTGGAGACTCTTTCTCGCTTATCTTCTTCGGTTTATGTATGGCACAAACCTCAACTTTCTTTGTCAAACAAAGAAGCACGATGAACCGAAACATCGAGAACAATTTTGTGATCCCACCTGCCTCCATTTATACACTCTCCGCGATCGGAATGATAATTGGCGTCACAACCTATGAGAAGATTTTTGTTCCGACACTCAGGAAAGCCACCGGCAACGAACAAGGCATCAGAATCCTCCAGAGGATTGGCATTGGCATGGTATTCCCAGTTATAGCCATGGCTATAGCGGCATTAGTGTAACGAAAGAGGCTAAGAGAAGTAGAGAGAGAGATTGTTAGAGTAAAGAGAGTCGGTTATCTGTCTATGAGCATGTTCTGGTTAGCTCCACAGTTCATCATTCTTGGAATTGGAGATGGGTTTACACTTGTTGGCCTACAAGAGTACTTCTATGATCAAGTTCCAGATTCAATGAATTTGTGTGTGTGTACGTGTAGTATATATATGGTGTGTGTTTGGACTAGTGAACTGAATTTTTTTTTCATTTGAACTAAATTTTCTCTGGGTTGAAACCAAAGAAATTCTCTAATTTTTTCTGGATTTCAGTGAATTTCTCTAGGTTGGAGGGCGATTTTCTCTGAGTTTGAGTAAATTTCTCTAGGATGGACTAAATTTCTCTGTTTTGTATCTGCGATTATTGTGTAAATAGAAGAGGGAATTTCTCTAGAGAGAGGGAAGGTTAAAGAAATTTCCAAAATTTCTCTAAAAAAGGAAGAATTTCTCTATTGAGATTTTCTCTATGACAAAATAAGTAGAGTTGAATCTGTTGTTCTATTGATTTGATAAACTGCCCCAGAGAAATTCTCTCAGTCCAGAGAAATTACCTTTCAACCCAGAGAAATTCACAAAAAGTGAGTGAAAATTCCCTTCTAGTCTAGATATATCAAAAGGTTTTACTTCTAAACTATTACGTAACTCTGATTTGAGTTGCATGTGCATGGCGTGTGCCTGAATGCTAGTGTTGTTCCAAAGTCTTTTGGGAGCTTGTTTACTGTTCTACATTGATTGTATCTAAACAGATGAGGATACTACAGAGAAGTTGCGCAGTTGGACCAAGGAAATCCTTGTCCACCACCAAACAAGTACAGATGTAGCTTCAAATGATGATGGTGACAACGACAACTATGATACTTCAAGGGAGAATGCCGATAGCAGTGCAAAGGTAAAAAAAGAACCCAAATGTCATGAGGTTGCTCATAATTCCGGTCACAGCATCAACAAAGAGAGTAATAGTGCAATGGTGAAGAGAGAATCTGGAGTAGTAGTAGTAGTAGTAGTAGCCCAAGCTTGAATGAGACTGCTTGTGAAACATAAAAATGTGGTTCTCTTACCACAATGCATTTCTTTCTTCTTCTTCTTATTTTAAGTAGTAAAGGGGTGATTATTGGATATGTTATTGGGTATTATCAAGGTGATGTTTCTTAATTTTGTTTTATTATATGTGATTGGTTCCCTCAATCCGTTGTTGACCATATTTAAATTATTATTTTGAGGGAGTGGGTTAGTTGGGTTGGTTAGTGGTGATGGTTGGAGGATGTTTAGGGGAGGAGTGGCAGAGGAGGAAGATTGAAATACTCGGCCACGAAATTTCTCTAGAGAGAAACAAAGAATTTCTTTGGGTTGGAGAGAATTTCTCTGGACAGAATTTCTCTGGATCAAATTGAGGGACCTTAGACATTATGAAAATATTAGATGTCCTTTATACTATAAAGTCTTAATACCATGGACCCTAAAAAAAAAAACCCCATGTTTGAGTGTATGATTTGTTTTTTTAAGTAATTTTTTTGATTGTTTAACTCTTTAGTGACTTTTTAGTTTTTTTTTTTAATTTTTAGCTAAAAAATTAATTTCCCAAATAACAACTCAGTATAGAAATATAAAAAAATCAATAACTAATTGTGAAATAGAAAGGCTATAGACCATGCAAAATATATCCGAAATGAATTGTATAGTATAGATTTAAAATTGATATGATGTTGGTCTTATCTGAAA